TGGACCTGCAGTGGAGTTTAGGCCCAGACACGGCTAGTGACGTCAGACTTAACGACCGGATAGTAACAATCCTTTGTAAATTGACTATCACTATTACTTAATGTTAAAAGCTTTGAATGGAGCCAGGCTAGCTGTATCCTGTGGTTCCTGTGATTTTGTGCACTAAATCTGTTTCCATATGCAACACAGATTAAATCCAGTGTCCCACTTTAATGGTTTCTAGTCTGATCCCTTTATTGTCTTTGTGAACTGAGACCACAAAATGTGTGAAGTGTCTCTGGATGAACATACACAGTTTAAAACAAGGGGCCTCTTCTTGTTTCCCTGCCAGAGTTGTAATCTTTGTGTCAAGATTCAGCAGCCGACTCAAACCTTTAATTAATAAAATTCCATAAACATGTGTCATGCACAGGCAGATGACCTGCTATAAACAAGCCAGAGCAAGACTTGCAAGCAGAAGTGCCACCTCTTTACTCTGATTCCAGATCAGACTCAGCCTTTTGTACTTCACCTCTTTTCTTGATTCCAGTAAGCACTCGCTGATCTGAGATCTGTCAAAAAGCCTCGAATAAGAACCTGCTTCTTTTATAGCAAGTGGGTAGATACAGAACAAATCAAACTATAATTACATGTCATAGAGTGCAGCTGGATTACTGCAATTAACAGGTAAAGCTAGTGATTATCCTCCTGTTTCATGGAAAAGTATTTTTTGCTACATTTTAAGGCCCTCTTTGCTTTTCTGTTTAAACACAAGCAACTGTGTGTCTTATTTATTTATGAACTTAGCCCAAAGTAAGGCAGATGAGTCGGATTACGTCCCCTAATTATCTTTGCAAATGTAAATAAAGATACTATAAATGTTTGTTAGCATGGATTTAACATATTTTTTGGTGCTGTGATGTGTTCAGGTAGTAGACTTTCACTTGTTTGGCTGTGCATCTTACTACATCTTTCCGAAACAGCTCTTATTTATACTCTTTAATCTCTGCCACAGGTTAGCTCAACAACACAGCACAACACAAACAAGTGCTCTGCTAAAAGCTTTGGATCAGAACGCTTAGGTAATAGCAAATGGCCTGGTGCTTATGTGGCACTTTTCTACTCTACCTGTGAGACTTTAAGGCACTTCATACAACTTGCCTCGTTCACACAATCACTTTTTTCTGCTGAACTCGATCTGCCGTTCACATGTATGCGTCTCTTGCCCAATGATATTTGGCATGCAGACCGGAGCCGCCAAGGATCAAACCACCAACCTTCCAATAGATCCTGCATCATTAATAATATAATCTATAGCATTGATACTGCATTAAG